ACACGTGTAAACCATCTCCGAGAGCCCCAGCAGAGGCCACGGTTTATAACAAAGGTGACAGACGGGCCTTGTTCTAACACATTTACATATTTGAAGGGGATCTATGTCTAATGTCTGAATTTCTAGCATTTCCTAATGTTCAAAGTTTGGGCTCGTCTTCTTCAAGGCGCCTTACAGAAGTGACAGCCCCAGGCTCGCTCGCAACCACAGGGACGGAGGAAGCTAACCTACGCTGTCTCTGGCACAGAAGAAAATCGGACCCCACCCCTGTCAGAGCTGATGTGCGGGGACAGCGTCCGCAGTGCCTTCTTCCCCTGTTTTCACGAGCACATGTCCAAGGAGGGAACAGGTACTAGCCCCCTGATTCTAGGACTGACCGGTGGGTCAAGGGGGATTTACCAATAGGCGGTCTGTTTTAGCTAAAGTGCAGACCCCTTCAGGGGCAGCTCAGGAGGGCTCCAGGTGGCGGTGCACTCTGCTGACTCTGCCTTGTCAAAGCCTTGGAGTCTGGGGGTTAGGTGATGATCCGAGTTCTCCCCCAACTTCGGACACCCTGTGGCAGGTGTGTGTGGAAGTGACAGGAAGATGGGCAAACCCAGACCATCCTGACGCTCTTCTGGAAATCACAAGTTTATCCCTTTCTGTTAGTAACCAAGAGCCTGCACTGGTTGACTCCCGGGCTCCGGTTGACTAGGGGAGCACAAGACAGCGCCCAAGGAACAGAGCATGCCTGCCCCCACGAGACCCTTCCATCACTCCCTGAGGAGTATGAGACTCTCGGGCCCAGGGACAGCAAGGGACACCGATGAAGCCCACCGGAGGCTGCCATGGAGGATGGTCTTAGCATTGAGTGTATTTGCTGAAGGTGAACAACCTGAAAAGGACTCCTCCATTTGTTATCTGGTGAACCAACACACCCCCTATTCCCAGCCCCACGACGACAAAGGACGTATGGACATGTGGCCTGTGTGGCTTTGCCCGAGGCCTGAGCATTGCACTTTACTCAATTAGGGGTGCTTCTAGCCGATGCAATTCCCTTTTTGGTGAAACTCATCCCCGAGAGTCATAAGGAATAAATGATTTATAGGGAAGCTAGGGGGAGGCAGCAGAGACATGAGAGTAAGGGTTCAGAACTACAAGGCTGGGGGACTAGGAGGCAGAAGGGACCCCCACCCGGCAGCTGGTCCTTGACTGAAGATGGGGAGAGAAGAGAGCTGCCTGAGCTGATCTGAGCACTGCACCCCCCTCTCCTGAGGCTGGGGCTGGACCTCGCTCCCCTGCACCCGGCCTCCCTGCTCTGGATGACAAACTCTTCTTCCAAAGCTTCCTCACTGTTCCGGGGAAAGGACTCCCGCCCACTCCCCACCCCGGCTGCCAAATGTCTCCAGTTTTAGGTAATCTGATAACAAAACTGCTCAAACCTCACGGGCTCACCTGGATCCTCCCTAAATAAAAGCCAGCCGTTAGGCTGCTGTAACGAGCAGGAAGGTCGGGCCTGCAGCTTCCAGCCCCGATTGGTGGTCACGGTCACCGGGGTTAGACAGAGCCTCGCACAAACTCCTTTGTGGTGTGCCTCACATCCGGAGTCTGCAATGCCAGGCGCTCTATGGCACAAGCTAGTCGCATAAAACATTCTGTCGGGGAGCAAACTTCAAGGCTGGGTCTCCTCTCCCCGGCAATGAACTCTGTGGTCTAGCTGGGCTTGGAGAAGTAACGCACACACTGGTTTCAACTCCGAAGAGGAGCACAGAGAAAGGGGAGGCATGCCTGACTCCTGCCCTGGGCCTCTGTCCACGTTTGCTTGGGGGTTTCACCGGCTGACCTGCCCCCAGGTGGGCTCCCGGGCTAACCTGAACATCCTAGATTTTAATTTGGGTACAGAACTCAGGAAATGGGACTCTTTTCTGGTCCTCCTTTTGGTAACTTAAGAAATTCTTAGCGAACCCTCCCCCCTTTTTTGGCAACAGGAAAATCATAGTTCACTCCATTTTACTGTACAAATAACTTCGGATATCAGAATCTGGTTCTCCTACCTCTGGTTAAACACACATGCACACACAGCAGATGCAATCTGAATATTAACGTGCCCCCCTTACACATCTACCAATATTGCTAAAATTAAAACAAAGGCTAAACACCGAGCTGCGTCTTGGGGCGTCCGGGTGGCTCAGTCAGTTCAGTATCCGACTCCTGGTTTCAGCTCAGGTTATGATCTCAGGGTCGTGAGACTGAGCCCCGCCTTGGGCTCCCCACTGGGTGTGGAGCCTGCTTTGGATTCTCTCTCTCCCTCAGCACCAGCCTCACCTCCAAAAGCTGCATCTCAACATCATCCTGTTTTCCAAGCAGGGAACTTTTTATTTGAGAGGATTAGCTGTCCTGGCTCACTGTGATTTGCACAGCCCTGGAGGACAGCCAGCAGAAAGTCTGAAACACCAGTGCTGAACGGCAGGCGAGCCTTCAGAGCTCCCGGCTTCGGACACTCTCCCTGCCGGGACGGGAAGCTCTCTTCTAGGATATGATCTGACCCTTCCTGCACTGAGTCTACTGTTCCTGAGTTTATAGGAAGGGTTCGCACGCTCTCACACCAACGTGTCCCTGTGTGTGCACCAGAGGGAGACCTCTCTGCACGCTGGGACCTCTGAGATGTCCCGTGTCGGTCTGCTCTGGCTGGGCCCCCAAGGGAAGAGACCGTGTCCCAGGGATAGAGGCACCCTCAGCAGGGCAGGCTGCCAGCCTTCTTTCTAGGGAAGGGACTCCTCCAAGTGACACCGGCCAGAGCCACTGTGAGGTGAAATGCCTCTGAGGAGGGCCCAGGTCTCTGGCACCGTCTGAGCAAGCCCGGCAGCCCAACCCCACCCTGCCCAGCCAAAAGAACAAGCAATGGGATGGGAGAAAACCCTAAGCAGGCCTTGCTTCCACCTCCAACTGCTACTTCAAGAGGCCTACAGGGGGGAATCAATGTCTCAATTATCATTTTTGAAATTAAAGTGCTTGGAAAAGCCCAAGAAGTCAAAGGGGCGTTTCCTTCCAAAGGCCAAGGGAGGGGTCCTACTGGCCCCTCCCCAGGGGCAAAGGGCCACGCCCACTCTCTGGCACTCTGGAAAGAGCCTCAGAACCCACTTCACTCCCTCCAGAAATCAGAATCAGGCTTCTATACAAAAATCTGATATACACAAGAATAAGTCTTTGGGGCACATTACGATAAAGTTGTAACACATTTCAACTAACTACTGAGAAATGACTAAAAAAGCCACTGATAATGCAGTTGAAAGGAGAGCCTTGCAGGAGCCTCAGATGGCCCCCCTCCCCATGCGGCCCTGATTCTACAGAGGGTGAGGGGAGCACAACGGATTCAGGGGTCATGGTTGAGCGTTTTAGGAGGGGATGCCTCATCTGAAATAGGCATTGGAGGAGGGTCCACATACTCATTAATTTGACCTCTGAAATGCATGAGACATGCACTGTTCCTGGGGCCCAACACTGGCCAGGGGGAGGGGGGGACCTCCAGTCTGTGGGACCTGCCCCAGCAACACAGCTGTGCTCTGTTTGGGGACATCGCCAGATAGGCTGACCTCTCTCTCTCTCTCTCTCTCACACACACATGATGCCACCATAAAAACAAGCTGAGTTTCGGGATCCAGCCTTTGGACACCAGCCCACCCCCATCACTCCATGCTTCATGTCACCTCTCCTGTCCTCACCAAGACGTGCGGCTACAGCTCCATCGGGGCATGCTCGTCTCTGGAACATTCCAGGGAGGCATCCCATGAGGGAAAGCGTTCCAGCACTGGCTGGGTGAGTGACTACCGGGCATGTTTTTGCTGTGCTCAAGAGGAGACTGTAATGTAATGACCGAGAGGAGAGGAGGTAGAGAGGGAAACAGGAGGGGAGGATGCAGGGAAAGGAGAGCGCCCCGGGCCTACTTTCAAGGTCAGTACCCAAGTGCGAGGGGCTGAGGCAGAGGGAAGCGGACGGACGGGGAAATATTCAGACCGGAGGGGCCGCGTGCTGGCTGCTTGCTGTCACACGTCAGTCCTCTTGGGCCGGGATAAACCCCGAGAGAAAAGCCAGGGTTCCCAGGCACCGGATGCACGACGAGGGGTATCTGCAGAGTGTGCAGGACAGCGGTCAGCTGGCGAGGGCCGAGGTGGGGCAGAGGCGCCTTCCCAAGGCTGCCGGGGGGCGGAGGGCCCCATGCCGCGTGGCCACTCCGCCCATGAGCCTCATGCAACTGCCCCCAGAAGCCGCCTCTGCCCGGCTGTCTAACACCGACGCAGATTTTTCTGTCTTCCTTGAAATACAGAACAGCAGTGTCTGCTTTTAGAAAGGGTGGTTGTCTTGCAGCTACTGAAGAGACTTCTCTGTTTGGTGCCTCTTCACGGGGCAGACAGCCCGTGCTACTCCCAGGGAGGGAGTGCAGGACTCTCTCTGCTTCAGAAGGAAGCCATCAGCTGACCAGGAGCATTTCAGATGGCCTGACACTGACAGCTCGGTGCTGGTGTGAGTCCCAAGCAGCCATGCAGATCCCACGAGGCCTCTGGGGCACTCACACCCCTCGCTGGGCCTTCTGCAGCCAGGGCCTTCTGCACCGGGCTCTCTCCCTCCCTAAAATAGGAAGTGTCTCTTTCCTCCTAGCGGTTCCTGTGACTCCAGTTCCTGTCACACGGTGGGGAGCTGGCAGAGCCAGCAGCAGCCACGGACTGACCGGCCTGCCCGGGGAGGCCCACTGCCCCCTGTGCGGGGCTGTGGCTCAGCAGGAGCCCCGACTGGCAGAGTACCCCTACTCCATCCCGCTGCTGAAGAAGAGGGTCCCAGACTGTCACCCGTGTCATTGGCATGTGCCAGCTCATGATGCCCCCATCTGCATTCCCACGGGCACCCCACCCCCTCCCTCTCCTGCAGGCGGCTGCAGCAGGTGCTGCCCTGGGCCCACCTTGGCCCTGGTGTCCTTCCTCTGCCTCCTGCTCGGTCCTATGTCACGGGCTTGACACCCAGGAGTAGGGGCAGTCACCTTGGTTTTATCGTGTAATCCCAGGGACCCTATGGCACGCAGATGGGGGGAGCAGACAAGGCAGAAGGGAGGTGGGGAGACGGGCAACCAGATTGTTCTAACTGCTAGTTCTAGGGCAGTGTGGAGCGGCTCTGGGTGCTGCCGAGGTCATGCAGGGTCTTCAGGTGGGGTGACAGCCAGTCGCTGGCCCAGGAGAAGGGTGTGCACCTTCAGTCCTCCTGGAGGGTGCTCCGGGCGACCTCCCATGGCCTGCCTACTCAACGGCCATCTGTTCAATGTGGTCGCTCAGCAGCTTGTATTGCTCTGGAAAAGAAAACAACATTAATTCTTGGAAGAAAGATGTCGACATCGGCAGGTAGGCCCTGCTCTTTTCATCCAGGCAATAAGAAAGCAGGACCTCACCAGGAATGGCCGTGTCACCAGTAACACCGAGCCCTCAGCCACTAGCATGCTGCACACCTGGCACCGGAAGTGGGCTCCTTGGAAATGGGATGCATCTTCTTACGGAAAGGACGTGAAGCCCAGGGAAGGCACAGTGCCGGTGGATGAACCGTGCCACGGGAGCCAGGCCTGAGTCCTATGAGCTGCACAGGGCCGCATGGCGGGCAAGGGGACAGTGTTCTTGCCCGGTACTGTGGGGCTGCTGACAGCATTCTGCGATTTTCCAGGGAAGCACCGAGCATTCTCCTGCCTCCCGAGGCCACCCCTCTGTGGCCCCTTTTAACTTGGTGCAGGATGGAGGGTTTTAAAAAAAGGTTGATTTATTCATTTGAGAGAGAAAAAGTGCTAGCAGTGGTGGTTGTGGGGCGGAAGGGACAGAGGTAGAGAGAGAATCCCAAGCAGACTCCCCACTGAGCACAGAGCCAGACACGGGGCTCGATCCCCGACCCAGAGATCATGACCTGAGCCGAAACCAAGAGTCGGACGCTTAACCGATGGAGCCACCCAGGCTCTCCAGGTGGATTTTTTTTTTTTTTTTGAAAGAATACTGTGTCAATCCAAACGTATGTTTAAGTGGAAGATTTTTTACGCCACGAGGGAAAGCTGTTTTGTAGCAGGGGGGATGACACATAAAGGCTGGCTCCAGTAGTAGATTAGAGGGGCGGATATGTAACGTATCCGCTCTTACTAAATAAGTCAGAGACTCTAGAAAAACCTCACGGCCCCCATACCTCTCACGGCAGTGTGGTTCAAGAAACAAAGCAGGCCATTTAAAAGCAGGGGCAACTCATGGTCAGAGCTTGGCCATTTTCAAGTTCAGAGTCTGAGCGCCCAGTCCCATCTTTACCTTTGGCCCCATTTGGAAACACTGGAGAGGGGAAGCTCCCCTGACCCCTGGCAAATGCCACCTAGCAGAAAGGGCCTTCCAAATACAATGAGAAGTGTCCCGTGCATGTAGGGAGATTGGAATAGAGCAGGGGTGAACCTGCCCGATAGTTCAGCATCACGTTTCTAATTAAAACCGCGGCAATCCTGTGAGCGGGGTGGGACAGACCACTGGTTCCTCAGCCCCGAGCCCCAGCCACCTCTGGCCACCGCTCACCTTCGTCCAGATTGCCGATCACGGCCTGCTTCTTCAGGAAATCATTACACAGCTTCTTGTTGAGCCCAAATGCCAGCATGTTGTGAGTGAATGTGCTGGAGGAAAAGACACCCGTGAGCTGGCACCCTTCCTCCTCCCTGGGGAGAGGGAGCCAGAGGAGGGGGGCCTGCCTGGAACTGTAAGAAGTGGAAATGAAGGGCAGCTGCCTTGGCCTGCCACCGAGTGTGGGGACGGGAGGTGCGTCCGTGGGGAACTGGAAGCCATGAGGACTGGCCTTCTGGCAGGAGACAACCCCAGGCTGGCCCTCGCCCCCAACGCCCCAGCCGGTCGGGACCCCCAGGGTGGGCTCATCGTGGTGCCCTCACCCCAGCTGCCCGAAGGTGATGTTCTCATTGAACCGCAGACTGTCGTTGCGTTCCTCCTGGGTCATGTGGCACCACTTCTCCCTGCAAGCACAGGTGACAGGAGAGCGTTCCAGAATGCCGTCGCGTCCCCCACCTCTCACCCCCTGCTCTGATCTACAGGGGGCACCCCAGTGTTGCCTCCCTGACACGTGGTGAGGAGCACCTCCCCTGAAGAGCTGTTTGATCTGCTTTTCCATAAAGCCTGCCCAGGGTTCTGACACTCTGCCTGACGGGCCCCAAATACAAACTTTATCACTTCATCCTTCCTGAGATGAGGAGATCCAAAAGCTCATAAGCTTCCTACTGACCCAGAGATGACGTGTGCTTAGTGGCTGCCCAGAACATTCTCTAGGAGACAAGAACACCATCCCCCGCATCCTTTTCTGTGGCTCAAGGATGGGAGGTCCCAGGGCCACCGGGGAGGCAGGATGACCTGCAGAGAGGACAGGGCCCTGCCAGCGTCCCTGGGGGGCGGGAGCAGAGAACCCATCCGGGAGGCCCTCAGGCTGGTGCTTCATCTGCAGACCTCCCAGGCTCTTTGGAGGGGGCAGCGTGCACAGCCTCTCGTGGCCGGGAGGCCCAGGGAGCAGGGGAGGCTGCAGAGGGCCACACTGTCCTGTCAGGCGGGGTCTTGGCTCTGCTGCATTTCCCAGCCCTGACTTCCTCAGAGGCCAGGTTCATGTTCCACGCCCCTCCCCGGAGCACACAGATGAGACCCCGATCTTCCCGAAGGCCCCCTGGAACTTTCCTCCCCTGCCCCCCCCCCCCCCCCCCCCCCCCCCCCCCCCCCCCCCCACCGTGACCACCGTGAAGACGGCACAAGGTGCAGAAACCCCAAGAGAAAGAAACGCAGTCTGTGTGCAGCTGCCCGGGTGGGACTCTGAAGCCTGGCTCTGTCTGCTCCCCATGGAGGGACACAAGCGGGCGCAGGCTCTGGGGCAGGGAGGGCGTTCTCTGAGCCCCATGAACTCTGCGTCCTGATGGAAAGCCACCTCCATCAGCTTGCTGCAGGTGCGCTCGCTCCCTCCCCTGGTGGAGCACCCCTGTCTCGAGCGGATGGGGGACTCATCCCTGGCCCCTCTGTCTACCTGAGAAGCGGGCTCCTTGCAGGGGCAGATGCACATGCGGAGGAGACGCTCACTTAAGCCCCCTGCCCCTTAAAGATTAAGCTCTGAGTGAGGAGTCTGACTAAAACAAGGTTAGGAGAAAGAGAAGAGACGAGGGAGAGGAGAGGCAGAGTGAGGGAGTGAGGGGTGGGGGCAATGGAGAAGCCAAAGGAAGAGAAAAAGAACCAACATCAAACCTTAACTGCTTTCCACCTGCCAGACCCAGGGCCACGTGTGCTGCTGTGGCTTAGCAGGAGGCCACAGGACGCCAGGGGCGGATGTCACTCCCAGCCTCCTCATGCCGAGGACAGGATGCCCGTGAAGATACCCAGAACATGCTTCCAGGCATGATGCTAATCCCATCCCATTTTGCTTCCCACCCTCTTTCCCCCAGTGGTTACCCTTAGGGTGGTCCAGGCACATAAATCCCCACACCACCATCAGGCCTGCTGTGTACAGTTCTGCACGTTGTACGATGCACAACCCCACAACATGTGGGAGTGACCCAGCGGCCCTAACCCTCCTGACCTGGATGAGAAGGAGATACTTTTTGCCGTGGCTAGGCCGAGAGGTGGGGCATTTAATCTGACCTCTGAAGAAAGAGGTGGAAGGTTGTTAGCACTCAGCGGGTCAGGTGCTGCCTGCAATCCAATCAATTCCTTAAAACTGAGATCAATATCCAATACCAGTCGAGGTCTAATCCCATACAGAGGGCAGGGCATGTGTCTAAACTGCCACAGTGGGAATTTGAATGTGAGCAATAGACGCCTTTGGAAATGGAGGCCTTTCTGCCTGAGTATCATCAGCCGAGTTTCCCGAAGAGGAGATATGATGCTGGAGGCACGAGGTTGCCCAGGGACCCAGAGCCCACCCTCCCACCCCAATCTCGGAGGAGCATTTGCCCTTCTTCCGGCTGAGGCCCAGGGCATGTGTGAGTGTCCCAGTGGGGCAGGTCCGAGACGTGTGGGGTCAGACCACGTCTGCTCTGGGGAACAGGGCCCGTGAGGCCCAGAGGCCGGCACTCCCTCATGGGCTTGGAGGCGGCTGCGGTGCTCCAGCTCTCCTGGGCCTCAGCCGCGGTGCTAAGCAACCGGGCCCCTGAGAGGCCGCGGTGAGTCATGCTCCCACCCAGAGAGACTGTGGAGACGCAGGGGCTTTGTACTAAAGGGGGTGTCCATTATGCCTAAATGCTCCTTTTATAGCCATAATAAGGCTGCATAGGAAACAAGATTTCTCATAAACAATAAGCACTAAAAATATATTACTGATTAAAGGAAGTGTGCTTTGGGAAATGTCCTGTGAAGAAACAATCATTGTATCAGAAACTATTTTGAATCAGCAGGCCTTTTGCTCCAAAAATATATTACAAAAGATATCTAATGAATACAAAGGTCAAACGATGAGAGACCCCACTGGGGGCTCGAAGAAAAGAGCCCTGTTCTAGGCCCTTCTCTTCAGGGGACCCCCTCACACACACACACAGGCTCCTCACCACGGCACAGCTGGCAAGGAGGGGGCAGCCATCCTTCCTCCCTGGCCCCCTGAGCCTGTCCCAGGGGCGGGGGACGGTCTGCCAGACCCCGGCACACCTCTGAGCCTGGCTGCAGAGAGGAGAAGAGCCTCTGTGCCCCCGCCACGGCTTTGTGCCGCGACCAGATTACCAAGCGTGAAGTCAAGGGGGTGGGTTCGAGGCCTGCTCAGGAGGGGCTGGAGTGGCCAGTAGAAGGCTGGAGCCGCTCAAAATCGGACTTGGCTGCTCACTCTCTGAACTCACACTGGGCCTTGCAGGGTCTCGAGTGCCCTCTCTGTTTCCTGTTCCTGATGCTCTGTCCTTGGTGAGCCCCCACCCGCCACCAGCCTGTCCTGGCAGTGGTACCGGGCTGCCCCTGCGTCTGGGCTCTGCCCCCTGCAGCAGCTAGCACGCGGCTCCCGCCTTGAGGTGGCTCTGGCGGGGACCCCCGGCCCTGTAACATGAACAAAGTCACGTGGACACACACCTCTTCTTCTCCTCCTCTCCAGCATCCCCTCTGGAGCGGCAGCAGAAACAGGTAAACAGAGGAACATGTCAAAGTCATGCAAGATATGTGGATGGAAAAAAGAGAACAGCGAGAGAGGAGCGTTATTACAGGCAGAAACAGAGAGACGGAGAGAGACGGGGTACTCGAGACCCTTGATCCGCTAGGAGCCTGACAGCTACATAAGCAGCAGGAAACCCCGTTCACCTACAAGCATCTAAGCGCTTCCTTCAGTCTGGTTTCCTGGCAGAGCATGGGATTCTCTCTCTAGAACCCCCGGGATGGCTTCAGCAGCTTCCCCTCCGCGTGCTCCCTCTGCCTCCCTCAGGAGATGCAGCTGCAGCGGCCTGCAGGCCGTCCTGCCCCGCTCGGGTGTAGCTGCCCACCCCCAGACAGAAAGACTGCACCTCAGACCCCCCAGCGCTAGTGCACCGGCCATACACAGCAGGCCCCGGCTGTCTCCTGCCAGGGAGGAAGTCTGGGGGGGTCTCCCCATTAGAGAAGGAGAGGTTCATGACTGGGGGGAGGTTGCCAGTAAGGGGACCCAGGACTGGGAGGGCTGCTGCCCTTTCCTGCCCAGCCGCTAGACACAGCGGGCACAGAGTGGGAAGGACCACCAGCCCTCGCTGCCGCCCTGCGCTCTGTGTGACGGTTTACAGAGGGGGGTCTTCCGAGGTGGCGAGACCAGCGTCAGGGAGCCTGGGAGGGTCTCGGGCTGCAGACCAGAGCACTAAGCTGAAAGCAGCAGTTGCATCTCCCCAGACCTTCGCTCTCTCGAGCTGAGTCTGCGGGGGGCGGCCGGCCCTGCGCCCCAGAGTCTTGTGGTGGTTCCTACAGTGATAGGCAAAGGGGTGGATCCTTGGGGGTCCTGATGGTTGCATTCTGGGGGAGTGTGCGTTTTGAGGAGGGTCAGGCCAAGTCATGCCAGAGCCCAGGACAGAAAGCGCTCATGCAAGCTGAGGACACCAACCCCCCCCGCCGCCCCAGCCAACCACAAAGCTGTGCGTGCCCAGGACCCTCCAGGCAGCTCGCCGGGCACAGGGGCCAGAAGGAGCTGAAGAGACCGATGCACCGACTCAGCTGTCCTGTTCTCCTCTGCAGAAACCGGACAAAAAAGCGAGTCCCTGGTCCTCGGCCCCAAGGCAAGGTGGGCCCAGACGCTGCTCCTACCTGGTGGTAGGAGACCGCTTTCTCCTCTCATAGTGGACAGCGTCAAAGAAAGCCGCGTTCCAAAACCTCAGCGTGTGCCTGTAAGACAGAGGCGTGTGTCAGTCCTCTCCAGGGAGGCAGGTCTCGGCACAGGAGGGATAAAGGCACACCGTTTCCCACCACATCTGCAGGACCTTCTGACAAGTCAGAGAGAGGCAGAGCAGGGAACAGAAAAATGACCATGTGCCTTTGTCCCAAACCGAGGCGGCTCCCTGGGCTCCCGGCCAAGGGTCACATCTCTCCCAGGATGAAGGTACAACACAGAGGCGGGTAAATCCCGCCTCCATCTGGTCAAAACTGAAGCCACCACCTTTGGGACGTGAAGGCCGTCTTCTGCTTCTCCACCCCCGCTGGGCCTCCTAGAAGAAGCCGGGGGTCTGGGGCCACCTGCTGCCTGAGAATTGGATCTACGAACATAATCGGGAACCCAGCGCAGACAGACCGCATGCAGAGAACAAACATGTTCATAGGGACACACAAGTAAGAGACGTTCTTAAAGATCAGGGGTCAGCCAACTACGCCACTGTGGCCTTTGAGGGAGGGGCACGTCTGACACCCTTTGGGCTCCAGGGGCTGGCTCTCTGCCTACTTGTGGGTGAATGCAGCATGGAGATGGAGAGGCTTCAGCGGGACGAAGGCAGCCCAAACCGTCATCCACAGAGCAAGACAGAGGGCAAGGGCTCCCCTGACCGCCTGCCTCTCACTTTACTCATGACCTTCATTCCTAGATGTTCACATAAAATAGCTTCATTGGGATATAACTCACGTACCATAAACTCAGTCTTTTAAAGTACACGATTCAGTGGTTTTTAGTATATTCAGAGTTGTACAACCATGACCACTATCTCCTTCCAGAACCTCTTCATCCTCCCCATAAGGACACCCCATACCCGTGAACAGTCCCTGCACATCCCCTGCTTCCCTCAGCCCTGGGCAACCACTCAGCTACTCTGTCTCCAGGGATTAGCCTATCCTGAATGCTTCATATAAATGGCATCATCCACCATGGGGTCTTTTGTGTCTGGCTTTTTCATTCTGCAAAATGTTTTCCAGGTTCACCTGCATCTCAACTGTCAGCGTCTCACTCCCGCCCACGTCTGAAGAAAACCACGTGGTAGGGATATATTGTGTTTTGCGTATCCACACATCACGTGTCCATGTCCGTGGACATCGGGTTCTTTCCAGCTTTGGGCTATTAGGAGCCTATGTGCATGAGTCTTGTTCTCAGCTCTCTTGAGTACCTGGCTAGGAGCGGAGCTGCTGGGCCACGGGCTGACTCTCCGCTAACATGCTAGGGAGCTGCCCGACTGTTTTGCACGGCTGCTGCCCCCTTTCCATCCCCACTGGCAGGGTATGAGGGCTCCAGTTTCTCCATATCCTCACCCACACCTGCCACGGTTCCCCTTCTTTATTCTGGCCACCCCGGAGGGCAGGGGCTGGGGGCGCGGCCCCACAGGTTGGGGAGCGGCCTTACCAGATGGGCTGCTGCTTCAGGTGCGTGTACAGGTAGACCTTCTCCCCCTTCCTTTCTTCCTCCGGGCTGCACACGGTCACTGCGGGAGGGCAACAAAGACTGCCCGTGGCCCCGGTTGCTCCCACATGTTGGCGAACCCCTCAGTGACCCTCCCGGTCGGCACCGCTTCTCCCCAAAGGTCACAGAAACGCGCAGTGGAAATTCCAAGACCATTTGCCCGCCGCCCACGGCCGGGAAGGACACTCCTGCCACCTTGGCCTTAGGAACTCCTTCTGAGGGAATGGTCCCTGGCACAGCTCCCCCACCCCCAGCAATTCGTTCCTTCACTTCCCTGAGACGTGAAATTTGGTTCACGAATCCTCTCCCCAGAGAAGAGGTTTCCCCCTGAAATTCACTAGGCGAGTCCAGGCCAGGGTGGACAGAAGTCGGGAGTCATCAATGGCAGCACCTCGTGCCCCGGTGGGAGGGACCCAGAGGTTCAGGGACCTGTTTGGTGGTGCTACCGGTTACCGGCGGGGCCGGTCGAAGACCCTGTGGGACCTGGCTCTGGGACCAGGGGCACTGTTGTGGCCACAGCCAGACCTCCGCTGGGCCCGGAGAGCGCTGGGAGGCACTCACCAGTCTTCTGTGGCTTCTCCCTGGGCTTGTTCTCTTCCTCCCTGGGGGAGAGAACCACAGCAGTGACAAAACAACCCCCCCACACACATTTTCTCAGCTCAAGGGAACTGGTCTAACCTGGCTGAAGGATTATGTCTCTTAGCAATGGCTACATTGCATGTGGTTTCCACTGCAAAAGTGTTAAGTCAGTGCAATGTTTACCAACTGCCAATCTTCCAGAATTAAGGAGATGCGGCATGGAGGCTCCTTTGCACCATCTTCTCTGAATCCAAAACTGCCTGGACCAGATGAGGAACAAAGCCAAGTCACCTGGCTGTACCCGACCATCAGAGGGTCACTGGGGACTTTGGGGAGCCCAGGGTACTCTCTTGCTGATGTGCCCCCTTTCTTGGGAGGTCTTGGCTTCAACACCACATTCTCAAGCACCTGGTCCCGGCAGGCTCCTCAGCTCCCGCTGCAGAACGGCTGTCCTGGGGAACAGGGGTCTGTCCCCTGCCTACCTGGTTCCCTTCACATGCGCTCTCACCACACTTCCAGGAGGAAGGGCCAGGGAAGGTTTGTAATTACCCTCCTGCCTTCCAGCAGTTTCCACATGCTCCCCATCCGTCCTAGAAAACCCCGAGCCCCAGGACATCCCTGCCTGTCGGCCAACCCAATGGCATGTGCGAACCACAGAAAACTCTGGGGGATGGAGGGTCAAGCTGTACTTCTCAGGAGCTGCTCACAGGCCCCTAAGGTCACCCAGGGCAGCCAAGTGGATGCCCCCACAGCCAAGCCACAGCCTCCCTGTCACTGCCACTGGCAGGCGGAACACGGCCTCTGCCTTCGGCCACACCTGCCCCTCCCCCCACAGTCCACCTGGTGACACTTACTCGTGTTTCCTGGCCAGGGGTCCCTTCAGCTTGGTCTCCAGCCCCCCAAAGAAGCCCTTGACGTTCTCTGTCTTGGCTGATGTGTTCTTCAGCAGCCGCTCAGCAATGTCCTTCTTCTCTGCCAGCCAGCTGTTGGCGGATTTCAGGTAGGAGTCGATGCTCCCCGTGGGCTTCTCCTTGCACTCGGAAGGCAGCAGGTGTGGCTTACCTGGAGGGGGGAGAGGCGGGAGGGAGCAGGAAAGGAACCTCGCTGTGTAGCAGGAACAACAGGGCGCCGGAGCCTCTGGGTGGCAGCGGCGGCCAGCAAAGGCCCCAAGATGCCACCAGGGGAAGGTGGAAGGCCAGGCCTCTGGGGGCCATAGCTAAGCACCTACTGTGTACAGGAAGGCAGCCAGGTGCACCCGGACCAAAGAAGAAACAGGAGAGGACCCGGCCCTAAAGAAGCTCGAGGACCTGGAGGAGGGGAGCAACACACACAGAGCTACACCATGGTGTTGGAGGCCAAGGGTTACAGGGGGACCAAGAGCCTCTCCCTGTGCCGGGAGGAGGCATGCCAACTCCAGACAGGCTCCGGGCCCCTGCTGTGGGCCTAAAACTGGACGAGGTGGGAGTGGGCATCCCGGGAGAGAACAGTAAGGCCAAAGGTCTCCCACAGACCAAGGTGCACCCTGTGGGCCAAAGGGTCTCCTTCAGGTCAGAGTCTCCTTCAAGTCAAGGTGCTCCTGCAGATCAAGACCCTACCTCAGGTCAAAGATACCCTCTTCGGGTGCCTGGGTGGCTCAGTCGATTAAGCATCTGCCTTTGGCTCAGGTCATGATCCCAGGGCCCTGGGACTGAGCCCCGCGTTGGACTCCCTGCTCAGCGGGGAGTCTGCTTCTCCCTCTGACCCTCCCCCCGCTCGTGCTCTCTCTCTCGCTTACACTCTCAAATAAATAAAACCTTTAAGAAATCTTAAAAAAAAAAAAAAAGATACCTACTGTTCAGAGCCTTGCAGGTCAAAGGACCCCCTACAGGTCAAGGTGCTAAGTGTCCCCTACTAATCTGAGCTGCTCTGTGCACAGAGGTGACTCCCACTCCTTTGAGGAGGAGCCATGGTTTGGATGAGGGGTTCCCATTTGACCCAAAGGTCTGGCATGAAGGACCCTCCCAGTGGTGGCCTGGCCTGGAGCTAAGGCAGTCCAACCAGCTGTCGCCAGCAGAACTGAGGCACGGGGAGGATGGGCAGCGGGAGCCGGGGGAGGACGGAGTCAAGCCGCAGAGGACGCGGGGCTTCAACACAAGAGCAAAACCGTGCATCCTGAGAGAGGTGGGAAGAGAGGCTAGGCTTACTGCCGCCCTGACTCAGCTCCAGAGCACGTGCGGGCCCCCAGCAGCCTTCTGCTCGCAGAGGCCTGAATGAGTCCCTGCCATCACACCCAAGGAACTTCACACAGGGAGACGTCAAGCTCTGATTACCACAAAGTTAAAGAACAATGAGCCAGAAGAGCTGTCAGACACCGGGATGAAGAACAATCTGCACTTGTCATGAGGGCATCACCAGCCCACACCCAGGGGTGTTTTCCACCCCAAGACCCTATACTGCTCCTCCCACTCTCTTCAAGAGCCAACCCCATGCGTATTTTGCTAAAATGTGAAAGCGATGTCCTCACATCCGGCAATTCCTGAGTCGACCATGAAATTTCCCACCAAATGAACTTCTTCTCTCATCTCCCAGCTGCTGGGTGGCTTCCTTCCTACCGTGGATAGGCAGCCTCACGACCCATGATATGGACCACGTGTCTTCTCCTCCTTTCAGGAACCTCACTCCTTGTGCACCCCGTCCTAACCTCGGGTTCTCTTGTATTCTGGAAGCCTCACAACTTTGCCGCTAATGGGGAAGAAATCCTCACTTGATGCCACGTTACAAGGTGACAAGTCTTGAGTTCCCATGTTTGCCCTCCACAGTGGCCGTGTCCCTGGGCCTTACCGATGTGGTAGTAGGTGAAGCACATGGTCATGAGGTTCTTGGCAGGCCCGAAGTCGTCCATCTGATGACACCTAAAATGACAAGGAAGGTCGACTAGCTAAAGAATCGTTCTACCCAATTTTCTCACTGCAAGCTCCTGAAGCAAGACCGAAAAATTTTATAAATATGTCCACATTAATATCTCACTCCCCGGATGCTACATAGAAGCAACAAAGAAGAATCCCCAATTGCTTATCTTTTTCAGAAAGATATATATTCGCTGGGATGCATGTCATCAACAGGGATTATCGCTGGGAGGAGGACCACAGGAGTGAGGACAGGGCTGTGGAAAGGGGTCTCCTCTCCATTTGAGGCACTGTGCTTCTCTACCCTGCTCTTCTGTACTTTTCTTTCCCGTTTAGTTTCTAACCTTGCACAAGTATTACTTAAGAAAAGTCAATGGAATGTAGACAGTGGGGTCAGGGCCAGTTTTATCTTTGAATATAAAAATAATCTAATCAGAGGCACCCAGGTGGCTCAGTCGGTGAAGCGTCTGCTGTCGGCTCAGGTCACGATCCCAGGGTCCTGGGATCGAGCCCCGTGTCGGGCTCCCTGCTCGGCAAAAGGAGCCTGCTTCTCCCTCTGCCCACCACGCCCCACCTCTCATGCTCTCTGTCTCTCCTCTCTCTCTCAAATAAATAAATACAATCTTTAAAAAAAACACAAAAACTTAAAGAACTAAACTCTGCCAAAAAAATCATAAAGGACTATAAATAAAAGTAAAAACATAAGACACTAGTAAACTAAAAATTATGAAACTCAAATTTTAAAAATTAATACATATTTTAAAAAGATTATGAAGTTTTTTTCCTTTTTTTCCCCCCAACCATACAGAAATACATATGCTCACCGAGAAATGGGGAGATTCTGTGTTTTGGTTGGGTTGGAATTTGAATTTTATTCCCCTTTTTATTGAAGGAAAAATTCAAAGTCAGCACAGAATTAAATACGTGTTACCAAGTGGGACAGGTGCCATCTCTGCACAATATGGATTTGTGAGAAACCCTATGGGTGGGAATGTCCGGAAGCCGAGATGTTCTCAGTGCCTGATAGCATGCTGCACACAAGACAACTGGGCCTGTTGGAAACCCACTCCTTCCGTGACGCTTTCTCGTCCCTCCACCCTTGCCAGCTCCGAGACCCAGAATCCCCCCATGAGAGCCCATCCTCAACTTGGGACATTCCAAGCAGGTGCCAGAAAAATAGGGATCCTCCCCTTTCTGGTCTTTTCCCTCCAGCCCATGCTCCATGTTCATGGTGGGGGGAATAAAGAGGTGAGGAGACATCAAGACACAGGGAATTAAGGTTCCCAAGAGCAGCTATGTCTCTGCTGGGAGGAAAAGGGGAAGGGAAAGTAAAGGAGGGGGTTTTCAGGCCTGGAAGGACAAAAGGGACATGGGGACAAACCACGGGACCAGGACCTGCTTCGGGGCCAGAATGAGGGGACGAGGGTAAGTAGGGCAGAAACAACAGTCACATCGGGACTTCCTCTTCCCTGTGCTTTCCCATTTCTCACCCACAGTGACCCCCTCCCCCATCAGTAAAGCTGCTGTCTGCTTCCCCAAGGCAGACACATCCCCTCCTTTCCTGCTGGTGGGGGGGCCATCACCTGCTCTGATGCAGGTCCAAGATATATGACATGAGTGTGGCCGTTCCAGGGCCCTGGGGCCTCAGGAGGAGAGAGCCTGTGAGTCACACGGCCCGCCTCCCGCAGCTACACAGATGCAAAGAGGGGCCCTTTCCATCACCCTCCAGCTTCTACTGTGCTGTCTGTGATAAAAGGTTCCAGCAGGGCCTAATTAGCACGCGGGGCAGGCTGAAGTCATCCGATCACATCATTAAGTGGGTGGTTATCTAGTTGGAGGTACTTCACAACAAGAAATCCAGAAAAGGCCACATCTCCACAGCAGGAGGGCAGGGTCAACTGCGTGTCATCCCCGCCTGTCCTGACAGCCCTCGTGGAGGGATTTACTCATGCCCAGCTGCTGTCCCCTAACCCCCACTGCCGGGGGGAGGACACTACTCCCTCCCAAGAGAGGCTAGTACAATGCTGCCTCTCTGTGGATGCTGGGGGAAGGTGGTGTTCAGAGCAAGCGCCCGTTGATGACTCGCGTGGCTGTTACGACTGGGTTAGTATAGGGCAGGAAAGGTGGGGAACACATGCTCTAGGATAAAGGCTTTGAGCTACAGCATCACTTACTCGAACAGGACCACGGCGAAAGACTGCACCAGGCGGTAGAAGGTCGGCTCCGAGACACACTTGGAGTTGCAGCGCTGTGTGGGAACAGGGCAGACACATCACTGGGCAAGCAGGTGGTGGAGGTGTGCTGCAGCTCAGACAGGTGCCAGGCTCACCACGCTGAGCACCGTTAGACACAGGGGGGCTGCGAGCCCGGGACGGGACCTGCCGGGCCCCCGAGCAGAGCACAGGCCAATATTTTCCTGTGTCTCCTTGAAATTTTAAGAACTAGGAACACCACACACTGCCCTATACAACACAGAACAGTGTGGAGGGATGAAACCCCCAGAAGACAACACAGGCCATTTCTGGATTGTAGAGGTATGGCCCATTTCTCTATTTGTGCTGATCTGCATTTTCTAATTTCTCTTGGAAAAATAAATTGTGATCAAAATACTTTTAAAAAACCAAGAGTTTGGGCGCCTGGGTGGCTCAGTCGGCTAAGCGACTGCCTTCGGCTCAGGTCATGATTCTGGAGTCCCGGGATCGAGTCCCGCATCGGGCTCCCCGCTCGGCGAGGAGCCTGCTTCTCCCTCCAACCTTACCCCCTCTCATGTAATCTCTCTCTCTCACATTCTCACTCTCTCAAAATAAATAAATAAATCTTAAAAAAAATAAAAAAATAAAAAACCAAGAGTTTAAGCCACTTTACAGGAAAAAAAAGAACCTACTACGTATTGACAAAAAATAATTCTTTTCTGAACTCGCATGGCTGTCACTGCCCACATTATCTTTGTAAAATTGAATATTGTGGGTTATTGAACAAAACTATGTGTGGACATTGTCCACATGCTTGCCCTTAAAAAAGGAACTTTTCTGTAACTGCACACAGTTGAAAGACCAGTTTGCTCGCTCATTCTTTCTTGCGGGGCCATCCGGACAAGTGACTTCCCGCTTCCCGCTTCCCGCTATTCTAACGAGGCCTTTTGGGAACATCTTTAAGTAAGTTCTACTAATTTCCCTGCTGGGTTGTTTCCTGTGGCTCTTCTCCAGAGCGGGAGCAGGAGAGCCAATGAGAAGGGGCCCCACCACCCATGCCTCTCTCTCATCACCGTCCCCTCACCTGGGCGCTCACGTATCGAGCAAACCACTCGCGGCCCTTTCCGTTCTCACTGCTACAGTACTCTCCAAACTTGGCTTTCTCCTCCTGGTCCAAGTCCTCCCTGGAAGGAACAGAGCAGGAAAAGCAACTTTCAGCCCTCGGCAACAAAGACGGCCAGAGCAGGCCAGAGGCAGGAGAGGGAATGGGGACGTATGGCCCCTCAGCCAAGCGTGGACACCTGACTTACACGGGCGCATCCCACCCTCGGCTGGGCCCACGAGGAAATAGGGGCATTTCTATCTCAAAGATGAGGAGACTGGCTCAGAGGATCAGACACAGCTGAGTAGTGAGTGGGAGCTCCATCCAGACTTCCAGGCTCCAGAGCCCAGGCTCCATGCCCCACGTCCTGCCTCCAGTGAAACAGGGGTGCTAACAAGGGTAACAAGACCCTCTGAGGGCCTGGTTCTCAAGCTCCGCCACCTTCCCACTCACTGGTGCTAAGTGAGCAAAGAACCACACAGTGAGTTCAAGAATCCCTCATGTGCAGGACACACTGGCTGGCTGCAAGGGAGACTGGTTGGTTGTTCTGAAGAGCCAGTCTGCTCACCTCTCTGATGATCCTGGCTGTGTATGTGAGGGATGGAGCCTGGGGGAGCCCAGGGGGGTCACCACAGCTAGGGTGAACAGAATGCTCACCTGACCTCAAACCACCTCTGATCACTCATCGTGGGAGGCTAATACTCTGCCCCCAGATTTAAAGACCAGATAAAAAAGAAACAGAAGGCTGAAGATCAATTAGCTCATGCAATTTTTCATTTATTTAAGGTTTGGTAGAAAACATCTTGGTCTCATTTATCCCAAAATACCAACACCAGATGAAATAGGGGAATTTGCCAGCCAGTCTTCAGTGATTTCTGGAATGCTCTTGAAAATGCATCCGGCTCAGTTGTCCATGTTCCATATTGCTGACAGGCTGCCGCAAATATAGATTGTCCTTCCTGACAAATTAGCAAGCTTCTGTGCTTTCTCCCATTTCATTAACTGGGTGTGCTCCAAGAAAGCTGACTAATTCCAGTGTTAGTCAAACAAAATTAGGAGGGCACCACATCTACTTGTTCTCTCAGAATGCATTCAAAATCAAACATGAATATATTTTTGGATCGTCCAATATTTGGATTATCACTGAGCTCTCTTCCCTGTTCTAACTGCAAAGAAAACGGACACACGCCTGGAAAAGGCAGACATCCCACCTCGCCAGGTTTCAAACAAGGGACCTTAATCACAGTAGGAAATAATATCCTCTTTACACAGAGTCAACAGGCAGAGATTCTTCCTATTGCTTTAATAAAATGGGAAAATGATCCCTTTGGTCCCTGAGCTCCTCGGACTGCAATGCGTGCACAAAGAGTCCAGAGGTTTTGTTGAAATGCAGAGTCAGTCTCGGAAGGTCTGGGTGGGGCCCAAGACTGCATTTCTAGCAAGCTCCCATAATGCAGATGCTGCAGGTCCACGTCCGGCAAACGAGCAGCAAGGCCTTCAGTGACTAGTGTGTGGTGGGGATGCAGGGCAAGGCTGACATCCGAAACCCAGGAATTTAGGTTTGCGGGCTCCCTACCCCATGCTGAGATATTAACAAGAATGGGTGGGGGAGCTGGAGGCGTACCCACATACACCCCCTCCTCAGTCTGATCCCAACCCAAACTCCGCTCCCTGCTGCTCCAATTGCCAGGGCTCCTACTTACCCCTTCAAGAACCGTCAAAGAAAGACAAGAAGGAGGAGCAAGGAAGGGTCCCCATCCAGGCAGGGGCTTGAGGCTCAGCTGCCATGAGCATCTCGAGGAGTACGGGTAATCAAAACCTTCTGGACCGTACTGCCCTGCATTGAGAGTCTGCTAGTCGCGGTGGCACCCTAGTCCGGAGTGAGTCTGACGCTAACGTGCAAGGGCTCAGACATGGGGATGCAAACCTAGAGTCCTTCTGGATTTAGCAGTGAGGACGTGAGCATGTCAGCGGAGTGGCTGGAGCCGGGGGTGGGATGGAAGAGGCAGCGAAAACTCCCCAAATGCTTCTACCTGCAGCCGGGGGTGGGGGCTGAGAACCACCCAGGTGGCCCACCATTGGCCCGTGAGGGAGCGAAAGCCCAGGCCCCAAGGGGTGCGCTGTCAAGGACAGAGCCTGGGACAGAGAGCAGGTCCCAGGGGGGCTCACCCTCCAGAGAAGATCTTCTCCACGTAGCTGCGCATGAACTCCCGGAGCTCCAGGGTCTCCTCGTCCTTGGCCGACTCGGTGCTCTGGTTGGAAGAGAAGGACTCGTTGGAGGAGGAGCGGCGGTACTGGTCCCAGGACGGGTGTGAGGGTGACTCGCCCATGTCATTCTCGCTGTCCGCAGACTCTGTGGTCTCACTCTCCGAAGCACCGTCGCCCTGGGAGCTGTCCCCATCCTGCAGCTTCGGAGGCAGTGTCTCTAGGGGCTCGGAGGGGGATGGCTCAGTCCCGAAGTCAATCAGTGCACCCACGGGGACCTCCGGGGCCTCCATGGTTCGGGTGGGCTTCCAGGCTGGAAGGCTAGCAGACGGGATTCCCGGATGTGTCAGCGGGAGCTGGAGGCCAAGCACCTGAGTGGCTTTGGAGCTGCTGGCCACCGGGAGTCCTCTGGGGCAGCGCTCGTGGCCCTAAGGCATCTAGAACGGAAGACACAGAAACGTTATCACCATGAAAGCTACTCTCTGTGTAAGGGGAATTCAGCACTGAAAATCCAGACTTAAATGAATGAATGAGGCCACAAATTCCCTGAAAAGAGAATAGGCTCCAAGCTTCTAGAATCTGGGTCATCACTACATGGACATCATTTCCCTACTGTCTACTGCTAAACACCTGGTGCATGGTAGGCACACAATAACTATTTGTTGAAATAATAAACACATAAACACCAACGATCAGGACTTCTCCAAACTACACAGACTTCAAAGCCACTGCACCTGCCTGCCCTCTCCCTGCTTTGGCCTACCAGACTGATGCCAGTAAATAAAAAGGCCGACCCCAGGCTAGAATCAGAATCATAAAATCCCCAGGGACACATCTGCCCGCTCACTGCCGTTAGCGTAAGCGGCTATGGGAGATGGTGTCGTCTGGCACGTTGGGAAAAGCTGCATCTGCTAAGCACGTGGGCCCCTCCCCTCCTGGGCTGGCATCTCTTCCTTCCTGCGTTCCTATCTGAGGACTCTTCCAAAGGCCCAGGACCTTCCCAGGCTGCCAGACAGATGCCCCTTTTCATATCACTCACCAACCCTCCACCGGCTTCTGAGCCTCATTTGCTGCCCAGACCCAGCCTCTCCATCCTGCCCTCTCCCTGCACTCTCGATAAGGACACCTGGATGAGGGCATGTGTCCCGAGGTACCTGTTCCTTCTGCCCTCTCCCTTCCCCAGTCCATCCCTTCTTCCTGCCTCACCCTGCCCGGATGCTGTTCATCCCCCAGGCGGACATGGTGACACCTCTTCTGAGCAGCTCACTCCACCCCAAGTCAAAACTATTCCCTGATGCCTCTGCGCACCTCCAGCATTTTATTTACCCCCATTTTAAAATTCTGCTTGTTTGACGGATAGATACTACTATTTCTGTTCATCCCACTACAGTATAAGCACCTCTGTAGCAACTGACTTATCTAGAGCAGTCTCGACTAAGGAAAGGTTTGCTGTGCATCTGTGACTGGATGGACAGGGCTGCCCATGAATGTACTCGAAGAGCTGGGGTGGGGTGGGGTGGAGTCCAGGATGCAGGCGGCACAGCAAGAGAGCTGGGGTAAGAATCTTCAAGTCTAAATCGGGTTTCCTGACTGCCAGTTGGGGGGAGTCGCCTACCAGGTCTGGGACCCACCTTCCCCGGTGGTGAGCGGCACACAGCTCAGCATGAAGCAAGAGCCCTCCTGATGCATTAGCTCCTCCAGGCAAGAGCAGCCTCCAGGTTGGGCCTGTCCCTGTCCTCACCCTCTGCAGGCCCCGAATATCTAGGACAACCCCCAGCAGACAGGTGGCTGCCGACACTGCAGCACCAATGCATCTTCTGTGGGTAATCCAATATTACACTGCCTTTGCTGCTGGTTAAGAGCTTAATGTTCACAAATCGATCATAGGTTCCTCCAAATTCCCCAGCTCAGGATATTTTTAAATGCCCTGAGTCAGAAAGATGGAACGGCTGGCTCCTTGTTCAGTACAGTCCTACAGAGCTTGCCTTGGCTCAAAGACGAGAAGCATAAACCTCCACTCGAAAGAACCGTCTGGGCCAGGAGAGCTACATGGGGTCTTTAGGAGCTCAGGAGACAGCACCACCACGCAGAGAGGCAGAGATTGAGAAGTGGCGGTCTGAGGCTGGGTCAGCCCTGGCCCCCCTCCCACCACCCGTACCCGGAGCCTCTGCTCCCTGGGTCACAGTTTCCCTGTCTGAGACACTGTGGTAGGGCTCAAATTCTAAGGTCCTTCTGGCCACCACATTCTCAGACTCTCCAAAGCACAGAAAATCACACCTGTGACAACACACTCAGTGTTAAAAATGGAAAATCACCCACTAGGAAGATGTTCGCAGTCACTATGATAGGAAAGTTGGGTCAAAAATATCTGTATTATAAATTTACCCAAATCCAACTGAAAACTCTGTGTTTTAATAAGGAATACAAACGACTCAAACAGACAAGTCACATGAGAAGAAATACTCTTATTAAATGCTTAGACAATTCTTCAACCTATGCTGATAACCACACATGTAGACAGGCAAATTAAAACACTTAGGTACCATCTTATACTACTAAATCAACAAAAACTTTAAAATGCAAACTAAATGCTGATGAGGTCATGGTAAGGTTAATATTCTCAAGCAATCCTGGCAATAGGGATAAATAAGACTCTAGAAAGTGTGTTTGTTTGTTTGTTTATGTATGTATGTATGTATGTATGTATGTATTCCTCACATCTACGGTGGAACTCGAACTCACGACCCCAGAGAGCGAGAGTTGCGTGCTCTTCCAACTGAGCACCCCTAGAAACTATTTTCTATAATTTTTATTTTTTTATCCCCTGATCCAGGATTCAAATGCTTGAAATTTATCCCAAGAAAATAATTTAAAACACTCAAAACCAGTTACGTGGAAAAGAAAATCCTCCTTGCAACAGTATTTCTAATCCTGATAAATTGGAGGAAAAAATCTAAATACAGGAAAACGGCAAATAAATTCTAACAACTTGATACAATAGTAATCAGTGAATGACGTTCACTTTATAGCTAAGTAAACAAAATAATCCGCAGTCAACAAGTATTTACTGAATCCCATGGCATGCTGTCCTTTTGTCTGGGGGCTGGGAATGCTGGAGTGCATGAATTTTAATTTTCTTTTTTTTTTTTTTAAGATTTTACTTATTTATTTGACAGAGAGACAGATAGACAGGGAACACAAGCAGGGCAAGTGGGAAAGGGAGAAGAAGGCTTCCCGCCGAGCAGGGAGCCCAATGCGGGGCTCGATCCCAGGACCCTGGGATCATGACCTGAGCCAAAGGCAGACACCCAGGCGCCCCTTAATTTTCTTATAATAACAATAAAGCATATGCACAAAAAGGGCTGGAAAAGAAGACAGAAGTGTATTATAGTCCTGGCACTGAGATCATTTCTCCTTTTGATTTTGTGCTTGATCATAATGATACAGTTTGCAATAAATAAAATATTTGGAGCAAAAAGGAAACAAATTTCTGTATCTTGAAACAGTTTCAAGCAGTGAGAAGGGCTGCATCTATTTATCCAAGCAGAACACCCCAGCATCAGGACTGCAAGATCAGAGCGAATTATCACGGCTATTTCTGTTCCAGCCTGAGGCTGACAAGCGGCTCTCCCAGCATCTCCCTTGCTCAAAATTCTGAGAGTGTGTGAGTCATCCTTTCCCAGAAGCCTCCTCTGTGGGCTCAGGCAGGAGGGACAGAGTGACAGGGAGAGGCACAAAGTGAGAGGCCTAACTGTTGGGGAGAAAGAAGTGGCAGGGGACCCAGGCCAGCGTGTGTGAGGGCACCGTGGGCGGCCAGGTGCAGAGCAGAACGCCGTCACCACACGCTGCTGCCCCCTGGTGCCCTCAGCCCAGGGATCTCACGCTCCCTTGGGGAGAGAAGGCAGGGGTGCCAAGTCCGCTCACAGAGCTGAGACACCAGGGGGAAGCAGCTGTTTGTGAGTAAGGGCCTTGGAAGCACGCCCACCCTCTTCCTTCAGGAAGGAAACGTAATTACGGGCCTCAGTGCAGGACAATGTGATGGTCACTCTGAACACACCAGGATGGCACACCTCCCACGACTACCTGTGTTGGGCCAGCCAGAGAACACAGAGGAAGTGGGCCCAGCAGGAACCAACCACACCGTCCCCAAGCAGAGCCAGCCAGGTGCTACATTCAGGAGCGCAGGCCCAGCAGCACCAGACCTAAAGAGATGTCCAGAGAATGGCTGAAAGGCACGACGCAAAATCCTCCAATTCCTCAACACTGGCAACTAATTTACATTTATTTCAAAACATGTTGCGGGCCAAAGAAAACACATCTGTGGGTTGCGCCCCAATCTATCTGCCTTGTTCTATGCACAAGGAAGGTCCTGAACGCACTGCAGGGCCACAGGCTCTGAGACTCGGTATCAAATCACAGCAGGATCTTTGCAACTACAGACCGTGTATATTAAAAATGCTCTTCTATAGCCTCGAAGCAGAACAAATCTTCTTGCAACTTTTGCAGTTCATTTCCTGGGCCTTACAGCACGAGTTTCTACCAACCAAATTAGGCTAAAATTCTAAGTCAACCTATAACCCGAAGGCCTTAACCACCTACCTGCTCATTCAACAAGTACTCCTTTTCTTATCTTTTCTTTAAGCAGGCTTTACACCCAATGTGTGGCTTGAACTCACGGCCCTGAGATCAAGAGTCGCGTGTCCTACTGACTGAGCCAGCCGGGCGCCCCTCAACAGTATTCACTGAGCAGCTACTATGCATCAGCTAGCATCCCAGCATCTGGGAGTGCATGCATGAATAAGGCTGTAAGGAGCATCTGGTTGTGTGTGGGGGGCGCAGGCTAAGAGAAGGGGTGGTGGGGGTGGGGAAGGGCAGGGGGAGGTCTATAACAGACCGTTAATAAAATGGAAACCCAAACAAGAACTTAAGGGGGCACTGAGTGCTATGGAGAGTCTCCAGGAGATGTCTCTGAGAGCCCCGAGAAGGGCTTCTTTGGACCAGGAGTTGGGGAGGCAGACAGGAACTGAGAGGGAAGGAGGACCTGCCAAGAAGACTCAAGGGTCCTCTGACAGGAGAGAGGTCTGGGCACGTGACTAGGGCTGACGATGGGTGCTACCAGATGACCTTTCCCCAAGTCTGTACTATGGTTATATATACCCGATGGGTTCTACATCTGTACCTCCCTTTCAACTGTAAGGTGAAAACACCACCTAGCCTCCTGGATTCAGAACTCTAATCCATTTGTTTCACTCTGGGTCAAGTGTGGGGCAGTGTGCAAGGAAGGGCAGGCCCA